CATGAAGGTTTTCGCCTTACTTATTCCTTAGTTGTCTGAATATATCATTGCAAGAGCATATGCACTGACGACAGTGACGAATTTGGGTGTCCGGAAGAGGCAGACGTGGGGTAATGAGGCGGTCGAAATACAGGGTTGTCATCCCATGACGTCGTTCCAGATGACAAAGACGACGCCAGCTTCGCGAAGCCCTGCCTTTGAACAGCGGCTTCGGAAGAAGATTTAGTCGGCACCTACCTCATCCAGCTGGTCGTGTTTGGAGACGCATGCCCCGCTGTGGGACGTCCTCTTCCGGTCGATCGCTTAGTGGATGTCTAAAAGGGAGAGAACATTCCAGGCTGCCAGATTGAGCTGGGGTGGAACAGAGAATAAGGACGAGGATCCTTGTTGCCCGTTTGGTATTTTTGACCGAGAGTTTTACAACTACCAGCCGCGATCTGCGTGCAAACGATTCGAATCCAGAATTCGTTTAAGGCGCACTTTTGGACTACTCCCGCGAGGGCAAAGGCAGTGCTGTCTCTAAATAGGATTGCTAAGTCGTCCCAGGCGGCTGCTGAACTCCACTAGTTGTCGCGTTTTGGTTCAGTGGAAGAGCAATCCGAGGTAGCCTGGGCCGCCTATTAGTTTGCAGGTCACCCCCCCGTAGAGCTTTAGAAATTAGGGACAGAAGGAGGGATTGGAAGGGGGTCGAAATTACCGACTATGGGGACACACAACTCCGGCAACTTCATGTGGTTCGGACCGTCTGTCGTATCGGTTATTGGGATGTGGTCGTTATGTAAAGTATAACTTCGACGATCGAGAGAGAGAGAGAGAGAGAGTTGGGTGCCAGCTGAGGCGAGTGGTGGCCGACGACTACTTACATGGAGCTGTAGTAGGCGGGCCACTCACCTGTCCTGTCTTCTCTGCTGCAATGATATTTGAGGCTGTTACTCCTTCGAGGGCTGCCTTGAGCTCAGTACCGTATATCGGCTCTGAATTGCATGGATCTTCAACGTTACTCATTCTTCAATCAGAGACTCAAGCTAGCGTGAAACTCAGTAGAAGGAGAACGGTCTGTACACAAGAGATTTATATTAGTGAAATAGGGTCAAAGGGGACAGGAGGCGTATAGTCTCAATGTAGATGGGGGATAACGGGGGTCAAAAGGAATTATTAAGCGCTTCACTGCTGTGGTTCTGAGGTAGGTATTACATTCATTGGAGTCGTCTTCTCGACTCCGTTTGGACACTCCTTCTTGTTTGTAAAGTGAAGAAAAAAAAGGCTCGTCCGAAGCACAGCACCACAGATCGCCGTTTTTGTCTTCTTTTTGACTTCCCGCCAACTTCACCCCAGTCTGACACTACACGCTCCCCTCCTCAGTTGGAGCCCTGTCCGCAGGGCTCGCCGTTAGCGTGGTCTCTATTATTTCTTCGCTAGTCGGGAAGGGTAATAAACTTGGAGGAACGATGGGCAAGGTGTCCTCTGTAGCCGTAGGTTGGCGTCCCCGGTATGGCTTAAGCTTATCGAAATGCGCAGTGAACGTTGGGCCATCAGGGTGTGACGCGTCTCGAGGTACGTAAGTGGTGGGATGTAGAACGTCTACGACTACATATGGTCCTTCCCAAGGATGGAAGAACTTTGCGGAAGTGCCAAGGGGGGGTACTGGGCGAAAGCGCCACACTAGGTCGCCTAATTGGTAGGGAGTACCATGTATCCGGCGATCGAAGTAGTTTTTTTGTCTTTCAGCGGCTGCTCCGAGATGATCTCTTGCAAGGTTGTGGGTTGTGCGTAGTAATTCTTGCAGTTGCCACATATAGTCGTCTGGATTGCATTCGTCGGGAGCGGCTACCGGCACGCGGGAGTCTATCGGTAGGCGGAAATGGCATCCGGTAAGCATAAAGAAAGGGGAGTATCCCGTCGAGGTATGCTCCGCGGTGCGATATGCCATCATCACGCATGGTAACTGTTTGTCCCAATCGTGGGGGCGGTTCTCCTCAGCAAAGGCCTTCAGTAATTGTGTCAGTGTGCGGTTAGTTCTTTCAACTTGGCCATTGCCTTCCGGGTGAGCAGGAGTAGTTCGTGTCTTATAAATGTCGAGTAAGTCACACACATCTTGTAATAGTTTACTATCGAAATTCGCTCCGCAGTCTGAGCGGACGGACAGAGGCGCTCCGAATCGGCAGACCCAGTTGTTAAATATCGCAGTAGTTACTGACGCAGCGTCTTGCCGTAGAAGGGGTACTGCCTCTGCCCACTTGGTAAAATAATCAACCATTACTAATATAAATCGATGACCGGAAGTAGTGAATGGTAATGGGCCGATAATGTCTAGGCCTAGGCGTTGAAATGGGAAACCTGTGAACATCGGATGGAGTGGTGCTCGGTGCCGTTGTTGAGGAGCCTTGAATGTAGCGCATGTCTTGCAAGTGTTGCGAAAGATGGCCACCTGATCGCGGAGATGAGGCCACCAAAACCGCTGGCGAGCTGCGGCTTCTGTCTTGTTCTGTCCTACATGTCCTAACTCGGCATAAAGATCTGTGAGCACTGCTTGTACCAAGCTTCCTGGGACTACCACTCGGCTGTGTCTCGTTACGTTGTCTCTAATTAGTAAGATATCGTTTTCAATAATGAGATGTGACCACTGGTTACGGAGAATACAGGCTGCCGCGGACGAGCCACGTAGTTCGGTATCGGTGGGCGATGGCATAGCGCATCGAAGGGTAAATCGGCATCTAGGCCAAGGTCAAGTGCTTTATCCAGTTGTTTAGGCGCGAAGGCCTTAAGTAGTGTTCGTGGTCTGTCACCCTCTGACACCTCCTGCAGATAGAACTTCGCGCGTCGTAGCCACACAATAAAAGACTCCGTTCTGTCGTATTGTGGTATCTCGACAGCGCTGGATGTATTTATCTTGGTTCCGGCCATTTTAACGGGCTGTGGGATCGGTCGTTGCGCTACCACCACTGTAGTAGGCGGGCCACTCACCTGTCCTGTCTTCTCTGCTGCAATGATATTTGAGGCTGTTACTCCTTCGAGGGCTGCCTTGAGCTCAGTACCGTATATCGGCTCTGAATTGCATGGATCTTCAACGTTACTCATTCTTCAATCAGAGACTCAAGCTAGCGTGAAACTCAGTAGAAGGAGAACGGTCTGTACACAAGAGATTTATATTAGTGAAATAGGGTCAAAGGGGAAGGGAGAGTGAGGTCGACGACTCAGCGCACTTTCTCCTCACTATAATCAATCTGACGCGCTTGAAGCTATCACGGTGCGCTAAAAGCCGTGGCTTGGAAGGTTGCCAACTGACGGGGTACCTTGGACCTCCTCCTTCACTGGAGGCGGTCTGAGAGTCAGGCTGCAATGGCTCCTTTTTAATGTGGCCTTTATGGCATTCCCACCACAGTGTGGGATCCGAGCCAGGCGTTGGCGGCACGCCCAGGTGCGGCTTCGGCCGTGCCAGCCTCCAAATCTCTGTTGTGTTGGTTGAAATCCTGGTTATTGCTGTGTGGACCAGGGGGTGTGGTGGAACGCCAAGGTGAGGATCCGTCCGAGCCATCCACCTGCGGCCTCCCTCGTCTCCGGTCTTCTTGACTCTGTCTTGACACCGGGTCCAGGCGGGGGAGGAGGAGAGAGTGTAGGTAGATGCTACGCAAGTCTACCGGCACTATAAACCCCTGCGTAAGTCACCGTCCCTGCTCCCATTGCTGCTGCAACTGTGGGGCACACGGTGGACATCATCGAAACCGATGGTCGAACTGTCAGGGTCAAAGGGGACAGGAGGCGTATAGTCTCAATGTAGATGGGGGATAACGGGGGTCAAAAGGAATTATTAAGCGCTTCACTGCTGTGGTTCTGAGGTAGGTATTACATTCATTGGAGTCGTCTTCTCGACTCCGTTTGGACACTCCTTCTTGTTTGTAAAGTGAAGAAAAAAAAGGCTCGTCCGAAGCACAGCACCACAGATCGCCGTTTTTGTCTTCTTTTTGACTTCCCGCCAACTTCACCCCAGTCTGACACTACAGAGCGACCTAACACATATAAACGATCTACACCCAAATGACACAGCCTTGCCAACCAATGACTGCCTGGCGTAAATACGAGTGAGACTACTATTAACATTTGCATTTTTCCTGTATACACGCCAACACCGGTTGTCAGATAGCACAATAAAGAAACATTCCTTCTGCAGCTACTGAAGGTGGTTGAGAATTCCACTGGCCAGGGTGAGGTTTATGTAAAATGCCAATTCAGCCATTGTGGACGACGATGTCCATCGTGCACCCCTCAGAGTGGTGTCGCAAGACGGCAGGTTGCAAGACAATTTGTTCAGAGTATAATCTAGTATATATAGGGGAGATAGATAGAGCCTTTGAAAACCCTATTTACAGACAAAGACTGAAAGAACGTGCACATGTGTACGCAGGTATACGGTATATGTTATCAGTTCTTGTCAAGTAAATATGTGGCCATTATATAAAATGCTATCTAATGTTACCAAATGAAACGATAATGATAGCCGAGTAGTGCAGAACCTGCTGCACTCTCTCCTACCTCGTCTAACAAGACCCAACGGCAAGCAGAGCCAGAAAGACCGGATGCTGATTCTAGCGCAGTGGATGTGGAAGTTCAGCAGTCCGTCTACACGTACCCAATGCAGACCGGGCCCTGCACGTGTGCCTTTCCCTTTCACAGGAATGGTTTGGGGAGTTTGTCTCACCAGAATGTTAGAAGGTGGCGCCAAAGATCAGTTCGTCTGTGTTAGAGGCAACTTTTTTAAACTCCTGAGCAAGTACCTATGATTTGTGCGGAGCTATTTTCCGTCTTGTGCTGCCTGCAATCTGTAGAATATGCGGACACCTTCAACAGGTAATGAAACAGCTCAGTTTTTGCATTGTTGCTCAGGCCGTAGGCTTTTGTGTGGGTTCGAGGGCAGCCTAATAAATAGGATAGATATTGTAAGACTGAAGCAGACCGGCAGATCGGTCAGTCGTAATGGTTGACGGGAGCCGAAGACAAGAACTAAACTGCTGAATAAGGCCTTGACCACTGTCAAGGACCCGATATCGTTAGGACTTTCGATCACGGCTGAAACTGGCCGCACTAGTGAAAATATACGTACGACCACTGGGCAGAGCCAGGGAACATTCAGTTTCCAGGTGGACCTGACTAAGCCTCAGGGTTAAGGAGGGCCCCGATGGGGGCCTTGTTTTCCGTTCGGGTGTTTGCTCAGCTGAGGGCATGGACACGCCCCACCGAAGTTTCTGCTTCCTTGTGCTTTTCAGGCCGGACGGAGAGGTTGGGAACCAGGTCGTCACTATCTCGACTTCCAGGTGAGAGATTGTGCGGAGATAGGACCTTGCGGAGGAGGGATGGCGGCACAAAGGAACAGTAGGCGGCGGTGAAGACGTCGCGGTAAGTGGTATCAGCGCCAGCAGTCAGTGGGAAGTCTTGGATTTGGAATTAGGAAGCACCACTGCCGCAGTGAGAAGTAATCCAGGGTTTTTTTAGCTTTTTCAGTGAGGACGATTCCGGACTTTTGTTGATGATTAGCAATAGAGACCCCGGATTCTGCATCAACCACTTTATTCCGTGACTCGTCGAAGCGGCGGATATCCGAGACAAAATGAGAGATATAGCCCGGTTAACAGATCACCCGGAGTTCGGTTTGTTGGAGTGCGAATTTCAAGTGAAGAAGAGCAGTCCATGATACGTGAACACAGTGAAGTCTCTGCCCGCTAGGGAGTGCCGCAAGTGTTTCACAGCAGGGCAATCAGCAAGATCCTTCCGTCCAAATGTTCTATAGTGCGATTCCTCCAACGACAAACTTCTGTAGAATAAAGCTTTCAGTTGAGTTTGACCTGTGAAATGTTGGTGAAAAGCCACGCCAACTGCCACATTGGAGGCGTCGACTACGAGGGTGATAGGTGCTTCAAGAGCAGAATGCGTCAGGGGCGAAGGTGACCTTGGCCAGAGCAGTCTTTTCCTTTTCAAGAACAGCTAAATTATCTGCAGAAAGCTCGAACGGAACTTCCAAATCTGCAAGGAGTCTCCTGGGAGGGATAATGGTCTTGGCACGGTTCAGGACGAACCGGTAATAGAAACTCACTAAGAAAACACATCAGCTGATGCCTGGAAGTTGGGCGCTGGAATTCACGGATGACAACGATTTCCTAAGGAAGGGGAAGGATATTAATGGAGTCGGCCGGAGGTCCGAGATTCTCGACGGAATACTCACTGAATACACGCCTTGGACGGGTTGAGCACAAAGCCAAATTCTTGAGAAATGTCAACCACCGTCACAGAATGTTTCCTATGTCCATCGGCGGTTGAGTCAGCCACCAAATGGTCGTTAACGTAGGCGTAACCAAAGGGTATGCCATGAAGTACTCTGTGTACGATCTTCTGGAAAGTTTGGAAAACGGGTTGTTGTCTGAATCGCATGTACAGGAGCTCAGCGAGACCAAGGGATGTGATGGTGGTCGTCTTTCGAACGTCCTCCAGCGTGCCAAGGATTAGGCGGACAGACTGAACCATGTGGAGGGGCGAGGACTAAGGGCTTTCAGGTCGGCAGATGACGTCTTTCTGAAACAAGTCCTTGGACTCTGCCTTGGCGGTAACAAGACGCATAGTAGCGAAACGACAGAGCCGAGGAAACACGAGAGAGCCGGTTATTTCGATCTGACGAACAATATCTTGCGGTTTAGTAGAGATGCTGAAGTTGGGACGATGAGTCGAGATGTTTGGCAAGAAGCTGGCAAACGATCAGTCTGGATTATGGTGCAGGACGGCAGGTAGCAGGATGACAGCAAGCAGCCTCAGGCTTATTAGTTTAACTTGCCTCCCAAGCAAAACGATGGAAGCTATAGTAAAGAGTGCTATACAGCATTTTTGTGAAGAAAATAACATCTGGCAGGATTTTCGACATGGCTGTCGGAGAGAACGTTCCTGCCCCTCAAATCTGCTAGCTTGTCTGGAGATCTGGGCCAGGGCTCTAGAAGTGGGTTTTGAGGTCCATGTCGTGTACATCGATTTCTGCAAAGCTTTCGATACTGTCCCGCACCAACGCCTTCTTCACAATCTGAGCGCCATCGGCATCCGGGGAGATTTTCTGAACTGGATAAGGGTGTTTCTCTCTGGTCGGAAACAACGTGTCTGTATCGGAGATGATATGTCAGAATGGGTGGACGTGACCAGTGGTGTGCCTCAGGGCTCAGTTCTAGGACCATTGCTTTTCATCCTTTATGTTAATTACAGCCTTCAGGAACTCGACTGCGGCAAAATAATGTTTGCGGACGATGTTAAGCTCTGACAAGTCATTTAGGGTCCGACTTATTAGAGATCCCTTCAAGAAAATCTGCACCGACTGCAAGCGTGGTCGAAGGAATGGCTTCTAGACTTTAATGTGGAGAAGTGTGCCGTCCTCCATCTGCGTCCAACCAACTCTCATTCCAATGAGAGCCTGAGGACATATCACCTGAAAGATATAAGACATTCCGCAGAATATTTACAGAAGGATCTCAGAGATTTGATACAAAAGAACCTGAAATCAACACTGCAGTGCCACAAGACTGCGAAAAAAACGGCATGGGGGTGCTGCATGCAATCAAAAGGGTGTTCGTAACCTTCGACCAAGACCTTTTTGGCAGAGTTTACGGCACATTTGTTCGGCCCCGCTTAGAATATGGCATACGAGCATGGCGGACATAGCTGATAAAGGACCAAGCATGCCTCGAACGGGTACAACGGCGTGCAACAAAGCTGGTAAACGGCCTAAAAAGCCAATCCTACACAGACAGACTGAATTGCCTTAATTTATTCCCTGTGTTACAGGCAACAAAGGGGTGATCTTATCGTCGTCTACAAGATAATACATGGCCTTGAACATGGACTTAGTTGTGAGGACATGTTTCACTGGCAACTTTCACCCAATCTTCGTGGTCACTCGATGAAGTTACGGACAACAATGTCCAGGCTGAATCTTCGTTCGGAATTTTTCACGCAGAGGGTAGTGGAGAAATGGAACGATCTCCCTCAGTCAGATGTGGAGGCTACGTCTCTGCAAGTCTTCTAGAAACGCTAGGATGATTATCTGCGTCCCCCGTTTTCCCTCGACAGTCTGAATCTGGATTAAATACCCCACGATCTTGCAAATGTATTTCTCTGAGACAATGCTACTCAAATGGATCAAGTACTGTTTTAATGGCGAATATTTTTTCTGTTCGTGTACAGTTATTTCTAACGAGCTGACATGTAATCAATAGGGTTTTCAAAGGCTTTGCCTATTATCCTTGCCAAATGAACGGAAATAAACCGCAAGTTCTGGGAACATCTGAGAGGTAGGGGTATCCCGGACTGTGAAGCTGGTGGCCTAGTTGCAGAAATAGAACTGACAGCAGTCGACCGGAAGATAGGAACGTGACAAGGAAGTCTGCGTCAATAACGACACAGGGGGCGTCAGCAGCGACAAAGATCCGAGGGAAGACAGGCCGTTGTCCGATTTCCAGGCAGAGGGATCAGATACCGAAGATAGCTACCGTGGTGGTGCTGATGGCCTAAAGGAAGAGATTGAAGTCAGAACACCGGTGTTCGGCTGATATGGGAGGGATGGCACCCAGCCGTGCAATGGCATCGACTGGAAAACTTCTGTCAATCCGGTTGCCACAGACGTAGAAGCGGCGTATGCACTAGAGCTGTCAGGGAGAATGGTCACTCTGTCTTTCGGCTTGACCCGTTTCACGCATTGTCTCTCATTGAGGATGGACGAACAGGGGAAAAGAGAGCGAGATCTTCGTCCTTAAATTTGGCATGCTACCGGCAGTTGACAAATGTGTTGGGACAAGGTGAAGAAGTGGGCCGGAAATTTCGTGCAAATGACTCCAACAGGCTCCGATTTAAAGATGAAACTGTCTTTTATGAAGAGAAGCTACGTGTTATGACGGGATCCCCCAGGGTCTTTTAATAAATTATTTATTTATTCATGGGCAAGCTACGCAATCTCAGACTTTAGGTGCGAAAGGGGTGACACAGGGGAATTTAAGTAAGATGAGTGATGGAAGTTATATTTTTGGATTCAATTTCTTAATCTCTTGCACGGTGTTCCAGTGTAGATCCGACAAAATTTCCTACTTTTTGTCATAAGTCATCTTCGCTCCCCGTCGTGTTTCGGCGATTTGTAATAAATCAGAAATCTAGTGTTATAGTTTTTCACCCAACATAGCCTCAATCCTATCAAGTCTTACCTGCATTTACGAAAGGTTTTCCTCGTATAAATATAGAATAGCACTATATTTTAAACGATAAACCGTCTCCACTGACCGCTTTTATCGTCGGTTTTTTGAGAATTATACTTTTCTCTATTTTATCCTACATAGCCTCATTATCCAATTCAGATTTATTCACAGTTCTCTTTTGCCACCTACGAAATTGTCACTTACCCGCTTTTTGTTCCAGTTTGCATTCTGTTATTGAGTAAAATTTGCTTAGTATAAATCGTGCTGTCTGGTCCACCAATATTGACAACTTCCGGAAATCGTTTCATCATATATAGCCTCATCCATATATGCTCGAAGTTTCGTCAGTTATCATCCATATAAATATTTTGGCTTAAGTCTTGTATTGCTTTTTCGACATGAAACCTCAGGCAACCTTTCGTCGAAATCTGAAGGGAACTAAACTTCATCTGAAACCCATTGTTCATATGAAAAAATTGATTTAGGGGCTTTTGAAGATTTTAACAATTTTATGTCTCGTTACGGATCAATTTTTTCTGTTCTTGGTGCCCTTCTTGACGGAAAGTTGCCAACGCTTACGTCTGAGCAGTGTGAGAAGCTCATACCTCTCATTAACCTGGTTGCTACTGAGACTGAAGACAGGCACAAACGAAGTTACAATTTTACATTAAAAAACGTTCCTAGGAGTCGACAGCCAATCGATGTCGCTTTTCATTTCCTTTATTCATGCGGCTTCAACTTTAGGGTCGCTGAGGCTAAAAAGCTTTCATCTAGGAGCAAGAATCCACCAATTCCTGTCAAAATTTTTTCGTCGATAGAAGTGGATTTTATTTTCTCCCATTTGGAGCCCTCGACTCAATATCTCAGGGGAAATAAACTTTTATTAGTGGAGATCAAACTCCACCGCAACGAAGAGTTTCTCCCCCATTAACAAACGTAAAGCCACCTCCGAATTATACTCATATACCTTTTACCTCTAAAGCAGTTTCTCCATCTGGTGTCGACCAAATCTCCCCACTATCTACAGCGGCCCCAGTTCCATCTAGCTCTTCGACTGATCACATTATCACAGAGACAGTTAAAACTAGCCTCTTTTAAACTCCCCCACGAAACAAGGATTGTTCAAATGCGGCTCCCAAATTTACTAGGGAGCTTGATCTTAACAGTAAACATGAGCCAGTCCTTGAAGCACAACCGACTCCCAGCGCTGGGAATAGTGATTTATTTAAAAAACTTACATCGAATCCACCCCGTTCCCATGCCTGACCACTCAGGTCTGACCTTGCGGTTATGGCAAATAAGCCAGATGATAGTTCAGGGCGATCTTTACCTGTTCCTATCCTGAATTCTCAACTTAACGCCCCAGTTGTGAAGCCCTCTTCACACCAGAATGCAAAATGCAAGTATATAGCATTGGTGATAACCTTTCCAATCCCATTGCTAGTCTGACACCCAAAACAATAAGGCCCTTTCCTGGTGTTAACTGTTTGCCGAAACCATTACGTCCGCTATCTAACATAAACTACCCCTCATATTATGCTAACAATTCCCAAAATCCTATTTCCATGCCTCCTATTGTTCCAACCCAACAAAATAGCTTTCCTCATCCTGGGTCTCCTTCAAATGTTTTTCAACATAATGCCGCATCTCTATTTAGTAGTTACCCCACATATTTTAGACCGCAGCAACTTTGTCCTCCACCAATTTCTTCGTTCCAACAGCTTAATTTTCCACCTCCGGCTCTTCCTTTTTTATAAGTAGCAATGAGCGGAGCCTACATATTAGGAATACGCTCAGTATTGTCTCTCTCAACGCAAAATCAGTCGCGCAAAAGATAGCCCAACTCAGAACTTTGGCTGTTGAGTTTGACCCAGACGCATTGTGCATTAATGAATCTTGAGCTCACTCTCTAATTTCAGACTCGGCACTCAGTATATATAGCCTCAGTTTATACCGCCAGGATCGTGCCGAAAGACGCGGCGGTGGATGCCTTCTTTACATAAGAGCCTCACTTGCACAATCGCCTTATGACTTGAAAATTTCCTCCTTCTCTGGAAATTTATGTTTTGCTTCGGTAATCCTTCAGCAAAATAGGAAAGCCTTGGTCGGATGTGTATGTAATCCTCCTTGCTCCTCCAGAAATGAAAGCCAACTCTGCGAACTCTTTTAAAAAATTGCAGAAACTTCTTTCGATGTCAAGATAATCGTAGGCGAATTTAATTTACTAGAAACTGACTGGCACACACACACTTCCTCTCATAAACTTCAGAAGCTTCAAGACACCATTAACTTTACAACCTTGTCTCAATTAGTTTAGTTTTCGACCAGAAACGATGGTATTTTAGACTTAATTTTTACTAATGGCGCCTTCCCTTTATCTATGGATTTCTATCATGACCTTTTCGCAAGTGATCATGCATTAATGCATTGTCGACTTCCAGTAGCCATTTCCACAAAGCCATCAGTACAGCGTAGTATTTTTGACTTTGCTAATATTAACAAGGAATTAGTAAATAATTGTTCAAGCACTCATGATTGGCACAATATTTTTTCCAGATAATGACCTTAATTTTTCAACAATTTATGGCAATGCGTAACTAAAGGTCTTCCTGACCTTATTCCTCGGGAGATGTTCAAATCGAGTGTTATTTCCACTGCTGTCCCACTTTTTCTTAACAACAGACTTAAAAAGTTACGGAAGCAGTTTAAAGATCCTTCTGTGAGCTCATTATCAGTTCATCTAAGAATTGTTGAAATATTTGAACTAGCTTCGAAAACGAGGCTCGCGCGAGATAGGCGTAGAGTGTCTTTAGCTATTAATGACATGAATGCTTCTAAATCAGTTGCTGAGATCTTCCGTCAAAGATCATCTGCTATGGCCCACCAAGTCATTCCGTCTTTGCTTACTACTAGCGATGCCTTCATTACAGAGGAGTCTGGCAAAGCAGACATTTTAAATTCATTCTTTGCCAAACATTTCACCATTGAATCTGGCCAAATCTCTTCAGTTCCTTCGCTGTCTGATGCTGCTCTTAGCATCATTAGTTTTTCTCCTGAATGTATTCAAAAATTGATAAGCCATCTTCCTAAATCTCACTCAGTAGGTACGGACAATATCCCAAACTCTCCCATAAAACAGCTAAGAGATTTTCCTCCTCTTCTTAGCAAAATCTTTTCAGTATTTCTCGTAAATGGCTTCTTTCCCGACCATTGGAAAACTTCTATTATTATTCCAGTATTTAAGTCTGGCTGTCGTTCTGACGTTCGGAACTATCGAGGTGTCCATAAAACATCGTCTCTCGCCAAAATGGTTGAAAAAATTATCGCCGTAAAAATTACCGACTTTTGCATAGCCAATCAAGTTATTAGCCCTTCCCAGCTAGGTTTTTTACCAGATCGCTCTTGTGAAACATGTCATCTGTCGTTTCTCAATCTACTTACCTTTCTTCGTAATGGCCATCTATCTGTTGTCGTTATTTATTTTAATCTTAATAAAGCCTTTGATAAATTGCTACATAAAAGTCTGGGTTAAATTAGAAGCTCTGGGAACTCGCAGTCGCCTAATAGACTTTCTCAGGTCATACCTGTCTAATCGTAAACAAAGGTTTTCGTGGGACCTTCACTTTCTAATGAAATCCCTTTTTAAGTCGTGTCCTACAAAATACCGTTTTAGGTCGTCTTTTGTTCCTGCCTTGCATAAATGATATACCGGCGGCAGTTAATCATTCTCAATCATTTATTTATGCCGATGATCTCAAATGTGTATATTCTTTCAATAAATCTACGAGCCTTCATTGTCTGCAGCAAATCCATGCTGACTTGCTTGCTCTTCCAGCTTGCAGCTCAAAATGGCTAATGGAATTCTCTCCGTCTAAATGTCGCTATATGTGTTTTGGACCTGATAGGCTACCCCAACCAGTGGTCTTTCAAGGCACACCTATGACTGAATGTACCATCATCAAGGATTTAAGTTTAAGCTACAGTAGTAATCTTGATCTCTCGGCACACGCTGACAGAATTACAAGCAAAGCTACCCAGAGTCTTGGGTTTATTTCTTACAATTTCTACCTTCCTGAAATTAAATTAAGGCTCTATCGTATGTTTGTACTTCCCGTTCTCGAGTATTGTTGCCCATTCTTTGGTTTGATGAATGAAGCTAGTCGTTTAAAAATTGAAAATGTCCAAAGACTTTTTTCTAAAAAAACTTTTAGATAGGTAACATCCAAATATCTGCTAATCTGATAGATGCCAGCTAATTAACCTAAATGGTTTATGGGTTCAAAGACTAGAAGCGGGCTTCTGTCTCCTCTTTCGCATTAATCATAGTTCAAATTTTCCTCGGATTTCAGCAGTCACCCCTAGTGGTCGCCCATACAATCTTCGCAACTCGTCCTTGATTATACCTCCCCCAGCGTCCTCCACCTCTAAGCGCTCCCTTTTTTTCGCTTGCAGATATACTTTCTCTGGAATAACCTTCCAATAAATATAAGATCATCAGAAAATCTATACACCTTTAAGAGAAGGCTACACCTTTACCTGAATATTGACTCGATTAAACTTTTATTTTCCTCATCCTTCCCAGACAACTTTTTCTATGACACTGAGAAAGGGCCTCCGGGAATTTAGTATGCCGCCATTAAATTTCCGTATCTGTTCACATTTCCTTCCTTTTTGAGTGGTCTCGCTTCCTAAGATCCCTCACCAGAAATGTTAATTTTTCCAATTTTTCAGTTCATGCATCGTGCCCTCACAGAATGCGCTCCATTGACGCTCTTGGTGAAACCTTCTGTATTCGCCATATACTAGTAGTCTGGTCGCATCTCCCTGCTCCATCCTCGAATGGACTCGGATGAATGTAACCGACCGCATCTGGGTTCCTATCGCCTCGAGACTGGTTTTCAATTTCCCCACTTATTTGCCTTATTCAAGGCCACATACAGGCCAGTCCTGGCTGACCCGCCTACTTACCCCTTCATGAAATCCGTTATACAATGCCATATACAGCTGAAATTTATTTCGGCCCTGACGATGTCCGACTATAATCCATTCTGTACCACCACATGCAGGCCAGTCCTGCCCGCATTCTTCTGTTTATATTTTTTTTCGAGGGTTTTTCTTCTCCTGTAAAATTAATCCAATCATTTTTATATTTTCATTTGGAGTTTGTTTTCACCCCTCGCTTATCATTTTTCTTAACGGACTTCTAATTCAAAAACTATATATTGCACTTTGTACAGATTTTGCCTATCTCGTCTAAAATTCGCATGTAAATTTATTTTTACTTGCTTTGATGGGACCCCGACGGGTCTTTAATAAAAATAATTATAATTAATTATTATCTACGTCGTACAACTTCATAAATCGTTCGATCATCTGGGCAAGTTGGACCGCAGAAAGAATTGCAGAAGCAGGTGCCAAAATATGCCGTACTTCCGATGGAAAGTAATGTACTGTAAACTCCTGATTATTACACTGACTGGGAAGGAAAAATTCGGATTTGGGAAGGGGTCACAACGATAGATTTTAAATCTTAAGTCGGGAGAAGCACAATTATTAGGGAAGATTTCACTGAGGTATAAAAGCGTTCAGGCAGTTGAGTAAGCAGTGGCGGTCAATGTTTTTACCTGGCTAGTATGTGTGGTTGAGGTTCTTAACCCCAATGTGAGTGTGCGCCTCTATTCTATCAGAGTTTTGCCTGCCTGAGACCAAGCAGCGAAGGAGCAGTGTCTACCAACTGGTGCCAAGTCTCGGTGCCTCTAGCGGCGAGCAGAACGGCAAAGTGAGGTGGACAGAAGGGCGCCAGTAAACAGTCAAGCTGTCGACCACGAGAGCGCACTGTCTCAACCTACTTCAGTCTCTGTCACTTGACCATCACGCTCACACAGGCGACCAACCCGCCACAATTATTTCTACCCACCACCAAACACCTCATCTAATTCTGGTAGACCTATCCGTCTTCCCACCAAACTAAAAGACATTGTGGTTTAATTTTTTGAATTTTTTGTCGAACGTCCTTGTTCGACTACAAACACTGTTCGGGGGTTGTGTAAATTTAAATACATTGCCCATTGTTGTCTTCACTTTCCCCTGTATACCTGAACTCGTTCTTGAATGGGCGTTCGACCGTCGCAACCGACGATGTCCACCATATGCTCAACAGCAAGATGAAGAAGGCATGGTGACTTGGGTGTGAATTAGTTTACAGTGAGAGTAGACTTACGCGGCATCTAGCGCACTCTCTCCCCCCAACCCGGACCCAGTGTGAAGACGGAGTCAAAGAGACCGGAGCCGGGAAGGGCTCAAGTGGATGGTGCGGCAGAACCCGCGCCCGGTGCTCCACCTCACAATCCCTGGTCCGCAATGAGCACTTGACCAGGATTTTGACTAACAACAGCGGGGAGAACGTGGATAAGCGGGCAGCCATGCATGCGACCTGTATCGCCAGCGGGAGGGCAAAGGCATCTGCCGCCAGAGAACCAGGTACCGGAGAAATGCCAGTGCACACCAGGCTGCGAGACAATGGTTTGCTGATCATGACATAGGAGATGCCCGCAAACCTTGGCGCACAGAAGGATTTTTGCATTCAGAAAAGCTCCCACAAATTTTGGGTGCTGAAAACTCTGATCGACTGTAACGTAGCGATGGCGTTTGTGGTCTCTGAACACTATGGCCGGTCTCACCAGCTGTTCCTCAACGCCTCTACTTTGGCTATCCCCAACTTCATGAAAGGAATTTGACGTCCGATAATCTCCGATACCGTGCAACCTCCCCCCTTCTTGACGGTCGATATTCTACCACCGCCGGCAGTTTTTTCTCCTGAGCCCTCCAAACCATAAAACCACCATCAACTATATTTTTATCCCTTTAGCTCAGGAGTTTTTTTCACTGCTGGTCGGATTTATGTTTAATCGCTTACCTTGACAGTGCCTGTAAACTGGCATTAAATAAAAAATTTATTTATTTATTTATACCGCCCTGCATTTGCCTGGGCCACCAATCTTCAACGGCTGGATAACCCGTCAGTCAGCGACTGAAAGGCGCTACCCATTAATAACGCACTCATCACATGCGTCATAGTACCACAGATAACTTTGAAAAAGAGTCATGAAAGCCCTGCTCACTGCAACCAGTCCGCCACTCCAAACAAACACACAGAACCGGGCAAACTGCGTAGATTAATTTGAGGCGTAGTCGGCAGCCTTCCAAGCCACGGTGCTTGACGCACCGGGGTAATCTCAGGCTCGGATCATGCATGCAGCAAAGGAGTCTCGTGGAGACGGAGCCGAGAAGTACACTTCCCACTTGCGTGGAATGCGGCGATCTAGTGCTTGCGGTGGTGGTATTGTCGTGCAATGCGGTTTTTGGTGGCGGATGCGTAGTGTCTATCGCAGTTTTTCGTGGATGCACGTGTGACCCAACAAATCCATTCGGTGAGTGAGTGTACGTTGATAGCGAGGGCAGTTTATGCGGGTGCGGTGAGTTTGGATTGGTCCTAAAGTAAATGGCCGTCCGTCTCCATGCGATGGATTTGCAAGTGACCGATCAGGCGGATGTGTGAACTAAATGTGCGGTCGCGACTGCGACAGGTATGAACCGAGTCCACATCGCTGGGGGTGGTGGTGGCAGAAGGTGATGGAACATTGGGCGCCGTCCCATCGGTAGAGGGTGATGGCGATAATGGTCGCTGCGTTCGATGCAGGGTTTGGGGAGCGACGGATGGTGTCGTTGGATGGCGGCAGCGGGGCGGTGACAGTGCGATCGGCGGTGACAGGGGTCGTGGTCGGCGTGAGGTTTGTGGCAGGGACGTCAGTGGGGGAAGAGGTGGACGTTGGCGGTGTAGAGGTGAGTCCGCATCTGATGACACCTTCTGTTGCTAGCGGACGGCAATGATCATATCAGTGGCTTCGCGGCGTCGGTAGAATCCGCACGGGCTTTCCGGCAGAAGTCCTGACTGTACGTGGCCGTTGAGATCGTTGGGGAGGATGCGGGTACGTATCTGCCCGGCGATTCTGAGTACCGACATGCCCCTGAAATTGTCGCAGAGTTGCCGGTTCCCTTCGAACTTGTACAGATGGACAATGGTTGCGTCCTTGAAATCCTGAAGAACCTGTCCGCAATGCCACATCACCTGAAATACCACCGTGATTTCGTTCATCATTCGGTGGCCGACGTGCTTATAGATTTCTACAGGGATCTCATCGAAACCGGGTGCTTTCCCACTGTAGATTTGGTCAGTTCAGTTCAGTTTATTGAGGGAAATAGGCGTAAGCCTTTGAGTACCCTATTTGCAACGTAAAAAATGTGTGGTGTACAGATAGATGTTCTGGGCTGAAATAGTTCGAACACGCCCATAATGGTGGGACAAAATGAGAAGGAGTTACAGGGGGTGAGCTCGACTTCTCATCGCTCTTGGTCATTTCGGAACATAAATATGTCCAGATTCTTCTTAAAACTTTGTATAGATGGTGACATCACAACATCTGCGGGAAGCTCATTCCACGGTTTGACCACCCGAACCGAGAAGGAGAACTTCCGCACATCCAGCCGTGCCTGCTGAGTGCGCAGTTTTAACGGGTGACCTCGGAGGTTGGTCGTGGTAGCAAATTCAAAAAAGTCCTCGAAGGCCAGACTGCAATCCAACCCCTTTACAATGCGGAAGGCTTGCAAGAGATCTCCGCGAAGTTGCCTGTAACTCAAAGGAAAGAGGTTCAGATTTACTAGGCGGGTCGCATAAGGAAAGGAGCTTTGACCCCTGACCATCTTCGTGGCTCTCCTCTGGACTATTTCGAGGCAGTTTTGATCCACAACACCCCACGGCCTCCAAGCTTGTATGCCGTACTCTAAATGCGGCTGGACGAATGTTCCGAATGTCTTAGAGAAGGCTTCTTCGTCAAAGTCCATAAACGCACGCTTGATGGCGTACAGTACGGACATTGCGGTTTTTGCCACCCTCGAACAGTGGGCGGATGGCATTAGTGAACTCGTCGTAAGCACACCGAGGTCCTTTTGGGCTTCGAGCTCTTGTAGGGCTGCACTGCCCAGAAAGTAGCCTCTTGTGCTGGCGGACCTGGCTGTGTTGCCTAGGCGAAGTATGCTACATTTGGCAACGTTGAACCGCAGGAGCCAACGGTTTGACCACTCCTCCAACCGATTCAGGTTCATCTGCAGTCTGTCTTCATCGGCAGGACCACGAATTACACTCCATATCTTCATGTCGTCCGCAAACAGTGCTACTTCACAGTCCAAATCTCTTGCGGCATCGTCCACGTAGATAAGGAACAAAATGGGTCCAAGTACTGAACCCTGGGGGACATCACTATCGACCATAGCCGGATCTGATTTTCCCCGACCGACGCACACAACCTGGTGTCGACCCACAAGGAAGTTTTCGATCAATTTATGGAAGTTGCCACCGATCCCTATTTTTTTCAGCTTATGTAAGAGCCTTTGGTGTGGCACAGTGTCGAAAGCCTTCTGGAAGTCGATGAAGGCTATGTGGACCGCGTGCCTGTCGTCGAGAGCTTGGGTCCAGCTCTGGAGAGATTGCAGCAGGTTTGTCGTGCAGGATCTTCCTTTTCGGAACCCATGTTGGCATTTCGATAGCAGGCCGTGAACTTCCAGGAATTGCATTAGTTCACACTTTATTATCCTTTCCATAACTTTGCAGAGAATGCATGTCAAGCTTATGGGCCGGTAATTTGTCGTCGCTGCCCTGTTACCTCCTTTGTGTAGCGGAGTAATATGCGCCAGCTTCCAATCTACAGGAAGTGTTCCAGTGTCAAATGACGTTTGAAAGAGCATCGACAAAGGCACAGAGAGCTCACGGGCAAGTTCCTTCAGAAGCTTGGATGGAATCTCGTCTGGTCCTGGCGACTTCGATTCGTTCAATGCCTCTAATTCTCTTCGGACAATGCCTTCTGAGAAGAGTATATCACTGACGCTTGGAGTCGGCAGTTCTTCTGTGGAGGGAGGAAGGAACCTTGCCTCGTTTGTATAGACTGATTGGAAAAACCGTGAGAAATACGCAGCTTTATCCCTACTATCAGCGATCTCAACGCCATCAGTAGTCTTTATCAAGGGGATTTGATGCCTGTTCCTTGTAGTTCGTCGGAGGTAGCTGTAGAGCAATTTTGGGTTCTGCGTTGCTTTTTGTAGCAAGTTCTTCTCGAATTCCCGCCGCGTCTGCATTATCAGCTTCCTCAGTTTGTTCCTCTGTGTCTTGTAGGTGTTGAAGCATTCAGCTTGTCTAGTGACGCAGTATTTTCTCCACAATTTGTGCTTCCTGTTGATTTCTTTTTTGAGATTGCTATTTAGCCACCCAGGGCGTTTGTTCAGTATTATACTAGTCAGTGGGCAGTGGTTGTTGATGAGCTGCAGAAGGACATTCTTGAACAGCTCCCAGTCATCGTTGGCACTTCCCGTAAATAAAGAGCCCCAGTCAAGACCGGATAAGTCTGCCCTCATCTGATTGAAATCGCCCCGCCAAACATTACGCCTTGTGTGGCCTGGAGTGTGTGAAATGGAGAATAACGAATAATCCCACATAAGCACTACGTGGTCACTTCGGCCAAGGGGCGGCATGGAGGCAATCTCGTCTATGCTGTCTGGTGTTTTCGTAAAGACCAGATCCAGGCAGTTTGCCCTTTGTCCTTCACGTGTTCTCGTTGGGAACATTACATGTTGTGTGAGGCACGCATTTAATGTCTTGCTCAACAGGCGGTAATCGAATGCCGATTTTGGACCTGACGCTTGGAGGGTATTCCAGTTTGTTCCTGGTGCGTTGAAGTCGCCCATGATCATGATGTTAGGTCGACTGGAAAATTTCTCCAACTGCTCCAATAGTTGAGTGTCGGCGATTTGGTCTGTCCTAGGTGGTCGGTAGACAGTGAGGACATCGAGACACGGGGAACCGGTAGCCTTGATGGTCAACCAGATAGCTTCCGTACTGCACGCAAACTTGGTGGTGTTATCCGACATTGCCAGACCGTCATTCACATACACAACGATACCACCACCCTGACGATGTTCCCTGTCCCTCCGATAAATTTGGTATCCAGGCAAGGCTACTTCGTTATCGCTAATAGTCCCGGACAGCCAGGTCTCAGTTACTGCTAAAACATCTGGAGACAGCTCAACAAGCCAAAGTTTTAGTTCGTCTAGTTTCGATATGATGCTTTGGGCATTCGTGTACAAGCACCTCAGTTTAGCACCAGCCGAATTTCCCGTTGCATTTGTTACTGCTGTGAGCATTACTCCGTTATCGCGGACGTCGTGTTCTCTAGGCTCTTCCGTTACCTGATTGGTTCCATTTACATGCCTTGTTTCAGTCAGATCTCTGGACGCTACGGGCTCACTTGTGTTGGCGCCTTGATCAAGTGGTTCAACGAAGGTGTCTGTTTTAGCTGAGTAGCTGTCGTCGTTCGTAGTATTACAGGCTGGTTCCACTGAAACGGCATATATTTCCGAACTACCTTCCCCTTGAAGATAGCCAGATTGTGTTCGCCATCCTTCAGTCTTGATTTTAACTCCAAGACAAGTTCCCGGCGTTTCAACCGTTCCGCTGGTGAATAGTCCGGTTGAAAAAAACCTGTTTGTGTGTGTTTCTGAGATCGGTTTTTTAGAGAGGATAAACTTGATTTGCTCTTTGTTCTCCAGCATAATTTGGAGAGGGCGAGGTGGCTGTGCTACTATCCTGTCTTCACTCCTTTTTCCTATCCGGAATGCTTTCAGAACCTTTATTTCCATGTCTGCCGGCAGTAAATGATTTAGCAGACCATGAAAGGAAGCAAGGTCCTCTGAGACACGGTCTTCAGGTCTGACTGCATTCGATTCTGACAAACCCTGAATAACCAGACACTGCTGGCGAGCATGGTCCTCCTTACTCTGTCTTTCCGGTGAATGCGCTGCATGTGGGCGAGGACGATTTACGGAGTCATCGCTTGGACGCACACTTTTACTGTCTACCGACTGTCCCGAGCAACACATCAGGGCTGGCTGGGACTTCAGAATCCTGTCATGGCGTTTCCCTCTCCCCTCTACCCAAGGGTTTATGTCTTCACATTCAGATACGTGCTCTGTAGTGCGCTCGGGGTGGTTGCCAGAACAAGAGGGCAAGAGTAGACTGGATGACCCAGGTATATCGTCTCCAGGCAGAACAGAAATCCCATCACTTACAGCAAGAGGCTTAGGTGACATGGATTCCACGATAGGTAATTTTTTTGCGACATCGCTTAAGACATCGTGCGTGGCAATCGAGTCTCCCTTTATCGGCGGCTTCGTTTTCATTCTCCTGCTGTTACCGGCGTCTGCGGTTTTGGCTGTTGAGTTGCTACTCGTGTTTGAAGATACCCCCGAGGAGATATTTTTTCGCGTTTTTTGCGTTTTGCTCTTCGTTTTTGGGATACTAACACTGGACACGTTCTGGCCGACTACGGTCTGTTGCACGAGCGTCCTTAAATCAGCAAGCTCCTTTTCCAGTTGTTCTACTTTGATTTGAATATCTGCGCACCCACCACAAGGCTCGTCTTCGTACCTCACACTTTTTGCGGTATTTACGCTTTTTGCACGCTTTGCTGGTCGTTGGCTGGAGGCGAAGTTAGAGCGACCACAGGGTCTGGATGCGAAGGACAACTCACCGGACTTATCTTCCAAAGAGGTGCCGTCGCTGGCCGTACTACTACAGTTAGCTTGCTGAGGATCCATAAACTTCGACGTGATATAATAGGTATAATTCCGCTTTAGATGTTATAACGAATACGTCGGCTTATATATGATGAATTAAAGTGAGTATTCAAAACTCAATAAGCGAAAAAATACTTAAAATCCGATAAATTTTGTTGATTTTAATCAGAAGCGACTTAGCCCTTTCCAGATCTCGTGGGACTTGAATAACTGCAGACCTTGAAGGATTTTGAGCGATTGGTTTTCTAGGCTGTATACCGTGAATCGGTTGCGTAGCCAGTTGCGTTGTCAGTTGGACCGTGGGTTCCAGTATCAATGTCAGAGACTGTAACTGTGGGATGGTATCCAAGTCGAAATTGTCCCAGTTGGAGCGCAGAATAATTCCGTCGTGCTCAGTTGGGCTCAGTGGGTTGGGCTCAGTTGTTGCACGGCGCGGAACGTTTCTGGGAGAGAGGGTAAGAGATCCAGGCCAGTGTTGGTTTCCACGTGGGCGAGCAGGCCAGTGGCGGCTTCGGAGATTGTGGACGGACGGTTAAGGGCGATTTTTAACAGCTGTGGTTTTTCCGTCAAAAGCGTTGTCCCATGGAAGCTGAGAAACGGCGCGTTTCCTTTCATAGGGGAGTCGGAGATAGTGGGTAATAATAGTGAATAATAATAACAGTAATTTGTATCCAAGTAGTGTAGTGGTCCGTTCATAGCAAGTGAGAATAACTTTTACATGATTTTTTTATTCGTTGCGGCTGGCATATCCATGGATCTCCTCGGCCTTGGGAGCTAAGATACATACAACAATCAGCTTCGATTGGTGTTACCGGGTGTTCTGATTCCGCTGTCGGTTTTTGTTGGTTGTTCACAAGCCATGTTTCTGCACTTAAATTCTATTTATTTGGACAAAAATATACGCCAGGATTTGCTCCCCAGAAACATTTCTCTGGACATGCATTCATCAGTACTACATGCACTATTGACAGGTGTTCATTAGGGACACTCTGAACTTACACAAAGGATTCTTGCTTCCTACAGTAATTTTGTGAAGTGGATAAATAAATCATTTAATTTATTGCCATCGAGGGTATTTTCGTGGTAAATACACAGTGGTGGAGGGACGCTCACCGCTCGTTCTTAAGGAACTCACGCGTTCTGTTGTGCCTCACGGCCTCTCTCTCGAACCCAACAGGCAGCCGCACAGCGGCGCATGATACAGGCAGGATGTTATTACCGACACAGACAAGGGAGACTGGAATGGCCATTTCTGGCTTATTATCCGACGTCAACCAGTCATACCCAACCCCGAAGTGTGGAACGCCTGGGGCTCGAATTCGCGATCTGTTAGTTATTAGTCCAACGCCTCTAACAACTTAGCCACGGGCTCGTCGTCCTGGCGGTTTCGATCAGGAATATACAATGGTAGGGGTCGCTCACCGATCGTTCTCCCGGAATTCACTTGTTCCTTTGTGCATTACGGGCTCTCGACTTCTGCCTAGCCAATCGGCTTCTGAGCTCTAATCAGTATGGATTTTTACTTTAATGGTCCTGCGAAACTTGTCACTTGGCATTTCCTAATCTAATCACTTCTCTTCCTAATGAACTGCCGTCGGTGGTAGTTAGCAACTTTGCTCTTAGCGAAGCCTTCGACAATGCTCCACATAGATGTCTTTCGGTAATATTGGAAGCCCTTGGGATTCGGTCTCATCTACTCGACTTCATCAGGTTATATCTATCCACCGATATCAAAAAGTCATGGTCGGTAATAGCTACTCGAAACCCCACTCGATCACGAGTGGCGTACTTCAAGGCACGGTTCTGGGTCCGCTACTCTTCCTTCTGTACATCAACGATATTTCAAATGAAATCAAAAATTCGTAAACTTTATTTGTGCCTATAATCTCAAGTGCATTTACTCGTATTCTAGGGCACCGCAAATGTTTATGTTGGAAAAATTAATGCCGATTTACAACGCTTAAGCAGATAAAGTTCCACATGGCAGATGAAGTTTTCATCCTCCAAGTGTAGCTTCATGTTATTTGGTCCTGCCAAGCTTCCGGGACCTATAATGTTTCAGGATAACCAACTCTCAGAATGCGTCACCATAAAGGACGTAGGTTTGAGTCATACAAATAAACTTGCTTTATCACCTCATACAGATAGAATGTCTGCCAAAGCCGCACAGATATGAAGGTTCGTATCGCATACTGTTCCCTTCCGGAAATACAGCTAAGACTTCGTCAAAGGTTTGTTCAACCTATCTTCGAATACTGCCGTCCTTTCTTTGGTTTAATTAGCTCTTGCGACCGTAATAAAATCCAAAATTGTTCAGAGGATTTCCACCCGAAAACTGTTCTCTCAAGTCGCATCCGGCACTTCTTATACTCAGAAATGTCAGCTGGCTTTTATGGGTTAGAAGACTCAAAGCTCGCCTTTGCATCCCGCTTTGCCATAAATCTAGCTCCAATCTTCCGCTCACTCACACTCACTCCGAGAAATCGGTCTTATGCCACGCGCAACACCTCCATGATGATTTCACCACCGCTCTGCACTACTTCCAAGCGCTCCCTCTTTTTGCTTCCAAATATGCCTTCCTTTGGAATCATTTTCCGCCAAAAATTAGATCATCGCCTACGTTATCGGTACCCAAGTCGAAATTACGCAAACAACTTACATGGGAAAGTATAAAAGCCCTTTTAACAGTCTCATTCCCGTACGCTCAACTTCTTGATTTTGAGAAGAGTTCGCCTGGGATTTAGTGGTAGAAGAAATGGAAATCCTCACTTTTATTTTTATAACCCCTTGTTTTCAGTTGGTTACTAATCCACTGCCATCACTCTTCCGCACAGGGATGATTTTCGTGGTTCTTGATATCATCTCCTCATTTCGAAATCAAGCAGTCTGTCGACGCTCACGGCGGAACCCTCTGTATTCGCCGTCTACAAGTAGTTTGGCCGTATCTCCCTTGCCCCCTCCTCGGCTGGACTTGAGGCGGACTGGGAACGATCGCATCTGGGTTTCTCTTCTCTCGCCACTTTGAAGCGACTTGCCTCATCCGGTGTAGGTATTCTGTTCTAACGATGTCCGTTCTGAGCCCCTCATACAATACCACATGCAGACCAGTCCTGTCTAACCCTCATATCTCCCTCTCAAGGCTGACATTTATTCCTGCCCTGACGATGTCAGTTTATAATCCGTTATACACTGCCACATTCAGGCCAGTCCTGACCGCATTTTTATCCTTTTATGAGGGACAATTTTTTTGCCTTTAAAGTTAATCTTACCATTTTGCTTATTCTACGGTGGAGTTTTTCACTGCTCGTCCCTCATTTTTCTTAACGGACTACTTATTCAATAACTATGCATAGCATATTTTACAGATTCTGCCTAACTCGTATAAAATTCACATGAGAATTTATTTTTACTTGATTGAGGGGAACCCGATGGGCCTTTAATAAAATTATTTTATTTTATTTATTTATTTTAAACTTCGTGCTGCTACGACTGCAGAAACCATTACCTCAGAACCATGCGACTAGTAGTAAGTCTGACGGTAAAACTACCACTACGGATAATAAAACGGA